TGCAGCTGAGCGTTAGTGTTGCATTTTGTATACATTTTACATGTCGTACACATTGTAGACAGCGGCTGATCTATGTTAGACAGGGCAGGTTGGGGCCTGCCTATGCCCCCCTGAGGCCTGTCTATGCCCCCCCCATTGTGAACTGTTTTGTTTAAAAAAAAAAGTCGGTAAACCTCAGTTTATAGACAGAAATGTGTATCATTTTTTGGTTATTAGACAGGAATAGTTACCGTCATAAACTACGTGTTTGAGAAGGTGGAGCTGGTCTAGTGCATTAAGCTGTTAGTTTTTTTTCCCAATAGATTCATGTAACGTGATGTAGTGTTGTAGCACCTCGGTCTCTGGAGCATTACATTACGATGTTTCGCATTGTAAGGAAAATTCCTGGCTTCTCAAGTGTACACTCGTATATATCGTCAAGTCGTGTGTGTATTGTTAGTTGTCTCTGTTGTTGTCGTTCTAATCGTCATCATCATCGTCATCATAATCGTCATTAGCATCGTCGTCATCATCATGACGTCATCACAACCAGGTGCTGATGAATGATACGGAGCCACTGCCTACACCAATAAGAGAAGTGTCCGTCAGAAAAAAAACATGGGATAATAATAAGGTGATGATGGTAGTGATGATGACGATGGTGGGATGACGACGACGACGATGATGATGCTGATGATAATTATAGTGACAATAACAATGATGATTATGACAATTTTCAAATTTTAATATCATCAACGACAGGGCTGAAAATAACCTCCAAAACAGCCAATTAAACAACCACACAACCGGCCAACCAATCAAACAATCAGCCACACAACCAGCAAACTAATCAATCAATCTCACAACCAGCCAACCAATCAACCAACCACACAACCAGCAACCAATCAACCAACCACACAACCAGCCAATCAACCAACCACACAACCAGCCAATCAAACAACCACACAACCAGCCAATCAAAATATCAATCACGACAATCGTCATCGTCGTCATCAGCTGACAGCAATTCACTGCGCTGCAATCAACCCAAACTCCGCCTACCTGGCCCAGTTGCTGGCCATCTTGCCCGAGTACAACATTGCTGATGCATCCAATAGGAAGCCTATTCATTACGCAGCAGCCTGCGAGGGCTCTGGGCCGCTTCAGCTATTATTAGATCGGTGGGTTTTCCCAAAAATATTATTTATTATTATTGTTTCGATTTTTATAATAATAGTTGGGATTATTTTTTGATTATTTTATTGAGTTAGTTAAACTATGAAAGGTTTAGTCACAAATGAAGTTAAAATTTTTGGGTTAAGAAATAAAATTAAATAATTTTGATAAATTTTGATATTTTATTTTATTTAAACATTATTAATTATAATAATTTATTAAAATGATATTTACCACGCAATCGATCGACCAATCAGAGGGGTTGAAGCGGACGATGCCGATTCAACAGGAATGACTCCACTGATGATTGCAAGCCAATGTGGAAGAAGCCAAAATATTGAACTGATCTTAAAGAAAGGTTTCGATCGACTGTTGGTTTTATTATTATTGGTTTTATTCTTCTTTTTGTTACTAACGAAGTAACAAAAAGAGTAGGATTGTCAAGAACAGGCAAAAGTTTTTTTATTCTACGTAGATGAAAGTAAGAACTTCTAGCAACACTATTAATCTGAGAAGAAAGAGACATGCTAGAATCAAAGATAAGGCACAGACTACGAAACTTGAGAAACGTCAAGAGTTTTAGAATCAGGTAAGATAATAGGAGGAATAGTAATAGAGTGTTTAGATTTATTAAAACAAATTAATTCAAACTTAGAAGGATTAAGTTTAAGAAACATAGAGTCAGACCAAGCGATAATTGAAGAAAGACATAGAGATAGATTATGAAGAACACTATTGAGATTAGATGGAGGAAAAGAAGTATAAATGTAAGAATCATCAGCATATAGTTGACTAGAGAAAGAAAAGTTATTAATAATACGAGGTAGTTCAGAAGTATAGAGTATAAATAGAAGAGGGCCAAGGATAGAACCCTCCATGAGGTATCTCAAAAGTATGAGTAGATGAGTTAAAAGTTGAATTATTAAGAACAACAGAAAAAAAAACGATTACAGAGATAGGAAGAAAACCAAGATAGACAAGAATCAGTAATATTAAAAGAAAGATGTAGCAGTCTCAAGAGAATAGTATGATCAACAGTATCAAAAGCCGAGGAAAAGTCAAGAGCAAGAAGAAGAGTAAGATTACTATTGTCACTAGAGAGAAGGATGAACACCATTTCAAATTAAGGTCTGCCATTACGTATTTTGAGTAAAGAAGTTTCAGTACTGTGAGCAGGTCTGAATCCAGATTGAGATACAGTTAGCAAGGAATTAGAGTTTAAATAAAATGGTTTTTATTGCTTTTATTGGTTATTGGTGACTATATAAACCTAAATTTAGGATAAATAAAAAAAGTTACTGAATAATTTTAACCGAATTAAACGTTAATTTTTTAATTTTTTTTTATAAGCGGCCGAAAAAAATTTTACCGTCACAAAATATGGAGTGGGCGGAGTCAACAGGCCGAACATCAAGTCACGTGGTACATTTTGTGGTTTTACTGCCCTACATTACGCTGCCTATCACGGACATTTGGTTGGTACGGACTGGGACCGATTGAGAGATTTTAATATTTAGGGATGTGCTATTTAGACACACATGCACACACACACGTATACAAACCCACACGAATCAAATACACACACACACTAACACAGGAATGCGTGCAGATGTTATCATCCCACGGAGCATTGGTGGAACAGGAGCTGGGAGCCAGTCAGAATAAGATGACGCCACTGATGATCGCCTGCCAGAGAGGCCACTTCAGTGTCGCCAGGTGGCTCGTCCAATCGGCCAGTGCTAAACCCGATAAAAAGGGTCTGTTGTGATGATGATGATGATCGTGATAATGATTGTGATGATGATGATTGTGATTGTGATAACGATAATGTTGATGATTGTAACAGTGATGATGATGATGACGATGAGGATTGTTGTGGTGTTGAATAAAGTGATGACGATAAGAGAGAAGTAGATAGATTCGACTAATCCATTTTCAACCTTTATCAATTCAATGCAGATAAGCTAAAACGCACATCCCTGATGTTGGCCTGCATGAACGGACACGCCCACATTCTAACCTACTTATTACATATTGGTCAGTAACGTAGATGTAATGACCTAATTAAATTAGGAAAAAAACAATTAATTTCATAGCCCGGTCAAATTAATGACATAGTTTAATTCATAACCCAATTTAAGTGCGTGAACTGACCTATTTAAAATTCAGGTTGTGACTCAAATGCTAAAGATAGCTCTGGAAATAGCCCACTTCATTACGCTGTTGCATACGGCTGGTACTTCTGCGTCAAGATATTGCTCAGTGTTGATACCGTATGTGAAGTTACTAACGATTGGAAGGTTGGCCGGTTCACTCATCCATTTATTTAATCATTCATTCATTCATTGTTTTATCTATTTATCATTTTTTATTCAATCATTCAATCAACCAATCATTGATTTATTCATTCATTCATCCATTCATTTATTGATACTTTTATAATTAACCTCCATCTCTGCAACAGATGTCGCCATTGGCTATTGCCTTTTTAAAAGGTCACACCGGATTGGCTGATCTATTATTAGAACAGTCTGGAATTTCCATAAATTTCCGTCTGGACCAGGGATGTACACTTGTGATGTTGTGCTGCTCCAGTAACTTGAACGAAAGTTGTGTTGTCGACCAGTTGAAATATTTGATTGAAGATAAGAAGGCCGACTGTTCATTGGTTGATGATTTGGATAAAACTGCCGTTAGTCTTTCGATTGATTGTTGGTCTTGATTGGCTAGTTATGATCGGTTAATTGGATTTCATTGGCTGGCTAGGATTGTTTGGTTGGTTTTGATTGGCTAGCTACGATTGGTTGTTTGACTTTGATTGGATAGCTGTGATTGATTGGATGATTTTGATTGATTGATTGTGATTGGGGATTAATGTATGAATTGAAATGAATTATGACTTATCGTATTGTTCAATCAAATAATTTAGCTCCACCATCTGGCTGAGAACACGAACAAGTCCAAGGAGGATGCTGTATGTTGAGTCTTTCATTAAATGAATGAATGAAGGAGTGAATGAATTAATGGTCAAATAAATGAATTAGTGATTGATTGATAGATAGAGCGTATGAATTAATGATCCAATAAATGAATTAATGATTGATTGATTGTTTAGTCAGCGGATATCAAATCTATCAATCAACCAGTCAATCACTCAATCGTCTAACCAACCAGTCAATCACTCAATCATTTAACCAACCAGTCAATCACTCAAACGTCTAACCAACTAGCCAATCAATCACTCAATCAACCAAGGAATCCATAACAGTAAAGATGGCTGAATTGTTGGTTGGGCATGGATGCGATCCCAGCAAGAAGGATAAATCCGGATCAACTGCCCTGCTGTACGCTCTTCAAAATGTACGGTGGTAATGATGATGATTGTTGTGGTGATGGTGATGATTGTGGTGGTGATGATTATTGTGGTGGTGATGATGGCGAAGAAGAAGAAGATGATGATTGTTGTATAAATGTCGCTATCATTACCGCATCAATATCATTAACATCACTGTCAATATTGTTTAATTTTTTTTAGTTGAAGTAAAACATTTCATTCATTCAAAATATTCATTCATATTTTATTCATTCATTCATTCATTCATCATGACGTCAGGGCAACGAAAAACTCATCAAATACCTCGTCGATAATGGGGGCGGAGTCACAAATATGATTGACGGCTCTCGTAGAAACTTGTTTCATCATCTAGCCAATAAGTGCATGGAGCAAGATGTTTCTGTGATATTTAAGACCTTAACTGTATGTTTGTGTTTACGTTTGTTTGTATGTTTGTTGATTTGTATGTTGGTTTGTATGTTTGTTTGTATATATTTGTTTGTATGTGTAT